GTGGACCCCAACCACCTAGTCTGCATCGTCCTACATGGCTTAAACCAACAGTCAGAGACTTCATACATTGGTGCCATGTTTTAGTCTGGCCACCTCGGGCCTTTTTCCAGCCTGAACCCACCTCAGCCAACATTGTGTGACGAGGCAATCGGTGACTAGGCATACGTAGTACGTGTCCCAACCATCTCAGTCGATGAAGGTTCACAACCTCGTCGACTGACTTACCTCTTCTCCCCAAAACTCTACACCTAACTTCTGCATTACTCACATGGTGACACCACGGAATACGTCCTATACTACGAAGGCAACGGTGGTCAAATACCTGTAACCTTCTCATGTCTTCCACTTTCAATGGCCATGTTTCACAGCCATACAGTAGAACAGAGCGGACTGCTGTGCAGTACACGCGACCCTTAATAGACAAACGAATATCACGGCGGCGCCATAGGTGGCGCAAATTGGCAAAAGCCAATCGAGCCTTTTGTATCCGTGCAGAAATCTCATCGGCAACTAACCCACCGGAGTTGATCCTACTTCCCAGGTAAGTGAAGTGGTCAACACACTCAACCACTTCACTCTCTATTGTTAACCGCGGTACCGCTGAAGACCAGTCCTGGAGCAAAAATTTGCATTTGGGTGGTGAAAATCGCATCCCAAACATTCTCAAATTCCCACTCAAAGTGTTCAGAAGACTCTGCATCTTGTCAGCGTCTTCACCTAACAGGACTATGTCATCTGCATATTCTAGATCTAAGGAAAATTCACCTGTGATTCGGTCAACGTCTTTGTAATTAGGTGACGAGAGGGAAACCTCCATAAGAATATCTATGATAAAATTAAATAAGAATGGGGATAGTGGGCATCCTTGACGGACACCACTTGATGAGTATAGCTCCCTGGACAACTCACCATAGGCTCTAACATGCCCACAAGTGTTCGAGTAGAGAGCTTTCAATAAGGTGATGTACTTACTAGGCACGCCTTTCAGTGACAGACACTGCCATAAGACTTCTCGATCAACGGAGTCAAATGCCGCCTTCAGGTCGAGAAATACAGCTATTGTCGGGCGTCTGTAAGCATGCCTATGTTCCAGGACCTGGCGCAGTGTGAATATTTGGTCGATACATCCACGGCCAGGTCTAAAGCCTGCCTGGTTTTCTCGGGCTTGCTGTTCCCGAGCTCCACTCAGGCGTCGGAGAATTATAGAACTTAGGATCTTAGACACTATGTTTGTCAGGCTGATTCCTCTGTGGTTATCACAAGAGGACTTCTCGCCTTTCTTGAAGACTGGGATGATCAGTGACTTAGACCAGTCGGAGGGGATCGTATTTGATTCCCATATACTGGCTAACACTTCCGTTAGCCTGACTAAGAGAACTCTACCACCATTCTTGTATACCTCAGCAGGTAGTCCGTCTGGTCCTGCTGCCCTTCCCGTTTCAGGCTACCTACCGCTTTCTCGACTTCTTCTAGTGTTGGGGGACCTGTCTCTATGTCCCATTCAGGGTCCGACTGGATAGCGGGCAGCGCAATGGTGGCTGGAGGCCAGTTAAACTGTTCCTCAAAGTGTTCTGCCCATCGTCCCAGTCGCCTTCCCTGCGAGTGAATCGCCGATCCGTCCTTCTCCGCTATAACCTCACTAACTGTTGTTGACCATTTCCCCCCAGTCTCCTTAATAAGTCTAAATAACTGTCTACTGTTACCGATCGCCGCTGCCTTTTCCATCTCTTTAGCCTTTGCTGCCCACCACTGTTCACGATCGTTGCGCAGACTTTTCGTCAGTTTATTTTTAAGTTGCGCTCGCTCTTCATTGTACTCAGAGCCTGCAGGGATGCATTCACGTGCATCCATTAGTTTGGAAGAAGCTGCTGATATCCACTGGCTCTTTTTAGCCATTATCTTGGAGTCGGCTACAGTCTCCAGTGCTGCTTTTACAGTAGACTGAAGATGGCACCAAGCTTCTTCTGGATGAGTGACAGTCTTTTGTTCCGATAACTGCCTAGCCAACTTCTCACTGAACACGGCTTTGGTGTTTTCGTTGTCCAGCAGAACTCGTAGTGGTTTTGTTGCCAAATTTTTTCTACGTCCATTGAGACGCAGGCATATACGTGCTCGGACCAACGCATGATCGCTGTCCAAACACGTACTCCAGAAGGAGCGGCAGTCTTCCACCGATCCTCTCCAGCGATGACTAATAGCAATGTGGTCTATCTGTGTCCATCGCTGAGTCGAGCTCGGTGGACGCCAGGTCAGACAGTGCCTTTCTTTATGTCTGAAATTTGTGCTGGCTAAAAATAGGCGGTTATCTGAGCATAGTTGTAATAGGCGATCACCGTTATCTGTACGTTCAGCTGGGATTCCGAAAGTGCCACCTAAGTGCCTTTCTGCCTCACTCAGTCTACCCACCTGTGCGTTGAGGTCACCTGCAACAACCACTACGTCCGAACGTTTGGCTTTCGAGAGGAGGTTAGACAGTTTATGGTAGAACTCGTCCTTCACTTCATCCGAACTACAGTCAGTGGGTGCGTAAGCAGAGATTACAAAGAGACAACGGCGAGTCTCACTATTCCTTTTAGTTCTCACTGTGCCGTTCAGCCTCATAGCGCAGAGGCGACTATCAACTGGGATCCAGTCTAGTAGTGAGTTTTCTGCCCTGGTGCTTAATGCTATACCTACACCTGCAAGACCACGAGAGCTAGCTATCGAATCTCCAGAAACTCGAAGGGTGAATTTTGCAGATTCACCAGATTGGTCAGGAGAGGTCAGGTGAATAACCACACTTGGGTCCTGTATGCGTGTCTCACAAACGCAGAAATTGAAGATGGTGCAGCATCATTAATTAAGAGACGTGAAGGAAGATTAGAAGGTAATGATGGAGGAGGTGGATAGCAGTCAGAAGAAACTTGGGTGCTGACAGAGTTGTGAGGGCGGTTGACACTTCCCGGCTGCCCACACCATGGAAGGCTATTTCTTCTTAAGGTACCTGAAAGAGATTTGTGTGACCGCAGAGCCCATCGGACATCTGCTTGAGGCCTGTCACACCCAGCCTTTTGAGTATGATTATTTTGAATTTTTGTATTTTTGGGGCCGGATGAGCGAAAGGAAACGACAAGTGAACCAACACCGCCGGGCCGGCAGACCGTGGGGCGTGGTGGAGTGTGTTATTTTTGGGGCCGACCTTTTCTAACCCCCCCTTCCTCTGAGAAGGCAGCATCAGCATGGCACTGCTGGTCATCCAAGGGAAACACCTTACTGCTCTCACACCCCATCCAGCTAGCAGCAGTACGACTTCGCACTCAGACCCCCATCATAGTGTAGCAATTTACACTATAACGGTAACTGCTTTTCGCCTAACCATTATCCAACAGACCTTTCTCGTATGGTAGGACCTCGAGGGAACAAGCGTTCCACCAGCATAGCTCGTTGGGTCATTGTGATATGCAAGCCCGACCACCACGTCAAGGTAGCAGCTATCGGTCGGGAAAATTTCAGATAGTAGCGAAAGGAAGATATCGCTGACTTATTAAGAGGATGGGCTATGTTGAATACGTACCCAATTACCTGGAGATCTGGATACCAAACATCTAATTGAAAGCTTGGAAAACCCACATCATCCGGAGGAATTTAGTCGACGTCAGTAGGACCCAAATAGGCTATATGTTATGGATTCTCAACAATCTAGCGTTTCCCAAAACAAAAAGCTGCGCTGCCATGAAATTTGTCACCCAATAGGCAGGAATTACCGGCCCCGTCCACTTACTTGACTGTCAACGTAGGAATATCTATTTGCCCCTGAGGATGATGGAACTATAGACGGACCGCTGGGATTAAAATGTATGACCAAACAATGGTATACAATACTTACCAGCCCGGCCAACCATTTTGACAACCTGTTACTCCCTATTCAGATTTAGCGTGCAACACTCCTGCTCATGAATTCCACAAATGGTTATAAAGAAAAATTCCAGCCCGTGATAGGTGGAAATTTTTAGATCTTCATATATCCACTCACCAGCCGGTTTATATACATATACGTCCTACTGCAATAGCTGTAATCCCAGAGGGGAAAGCGGATAGAACAAATAACCAGCAAAATACAACAAACACTTGGGAGTATTTCAGTTTATATCAGCCCAATGAACCCTGTAAACTGAAACCTCTCATCTAGAACATTCTACAGAAGAATATCAGTTTATCATCGTCGTTAACCGATATAAGCACATACCCAAGGTCTATCGTATAACAGGTATGGACTTGTCATCACTACGAAACAGTCTATTCTCCCAGCGTGTCACACCGACATGGTGACCAACAAACAAAACGGCATTAACAGCTGTAAACAATAATGAAGCAAAACTTTATGTTTGACTGACTGGGTGGGATAACGATACAGAAGTTACCGTAATCATGTATGGATCGCACAAACAGTCGTCCGAGTCCTCATCTAGAAAACCTACATCCAGTTACACAACTGGGACTAGTATTTTCGTACCTTTCACCCGTTTTTCAGTCTACTTAATTTACACCTAACAAACTATGCTGGAGTGGACTCTACACACAATGTCGAAATCTTCCTTCGAAAAAGTGGCGAAAATCAAACATGTAGACGATACCCAGTAAACTAAGAAGGTTAGCTTACGACCAGTATGACTTCCTACCCCGTAAAACAATGTCCCTTCATTTTCAAGTTAGTAGCGGTATTTCTACAGGATTAACTCAGCGCATAACAAGTGCTGAGTTGAATCAACACGGTGGGGACCGGCGAATGTCACCGTGGTCGCAGTACACACTCGTCTCGAAACTCACCTTTCGTGTAAACTAGCAGTAGTACAACACAGCGAAGCACAGCATTTAACGTTCATAAGAATGTGACCTATTGGCCTGACCTGCTTACTCAAATCCAAAGCAGTAAGCAAACAATCCTAATCGATCTTGGATAACTCCAATCTCATTCAGAATGCCATGATCGCATCCTACATGCCAATACGAAATTCGGTATCTAGTAAGAGGGAAAATGTATTGCTCAGAAATATATTGGACAGTGGTTTCGAACTGCAGAACAAGAAAGAAGAGACAAAACCGCAAGCAAACTAAATGAATAAGATTTTAGAAAGAACAATATTAGGATGTAAGGCTAACCAGGTCGAGGACAATGTTTTTTAACACATCAAAAGCATGCTCAGCTTTTTCATATGCCAATTTCGATCGCTTGTATGCAGATGTAACGTCAGCCAGGTCTGACTGAGTTTGTAGGGACTTTTGTTTCAGCTTTTGACGGTAACGTCTGGAAGCTTCACGGTTAACCTCCCGGCGTCGTTTAGACTGCGTACCATGCAAAACAGTACCAAATATACGATCAGACTTGCACTCTAATAAACCTGTCGACTTGAAGCGACCAGGAGCCACAGGCAAATAGAAATCACTGGCATGAGGTAAATCAGCTACATAACCAGCGACACTGCTACTGGAAGAATCGGAAGAACCTTCAAAATGACGAGCCTATCAGAGTGAGAATAATTACGCATTGATCTTACTGAATAATCAGCGACGAACTCAAGAACTTCGTCAGGGACAAAGTCAGAATGCAACAAACCACAAGTTTCCCCCACATCCAAGCTTGGTTCTGTCGATATATCGGACAAAAAATCTGTGAAGGTAAAGAAAAGACGCCTGGCATACCTGGACAACTGTCAGTATCATCACCACTGCCCAAAAAGTCTGAGCATCTTGACTTGATGGAGCAAACATCAGTGAATGCAGAGCAAGAAGGAGACACGAAGCCGGCACTCCAGGTTGGAGTGCTGGTTTCCAGCTTTGAATATTTGAAGACCGAGTGATCCATATGAAGATAGTGAAGGTAAGGGAAGAGGGGTCCATTTTGGATGCGTTTTGGTCATCATAGTTAACTACAGGGAGGTAAACTAGAAGGTATGTATCCCACCTGTTCGCACGTCTGCGCGAAGCGGAGCTTATTCTTCGGAAGTTGGGCAAGTTACTCCATTGCTGATACTTCGACGACCTTAAACCGTGAACAAATATGGCGGATTGGAATTTGGTCGACTTAAACTAAGCCCAATGAACAATTGTTTTATCATCAGCAATAAAAATATCGCGCAAAGACGCTCCAGATATTCCCCACCATGAAAAATTGTGCATGAATTTGCACACGCCGTAGGCTTAACAATGTAAGAAGAAGATACGACTAGATTACACCGGTGATTCAACGGGTTCGCAAAACAAAAACGGAAAGGGCTCACTAACGTAGGTTACATGACAACGCCTCAGGTCATCTTGATGGTTTCGCAACAAGAGAAGAAACGAACAAGAGAAATATGTTCTTCACGAAGTTTAAACTTGAAGGTTAATCTTCCGAAAATCATAGGCAATATTCTTCCTTGGCGGTTTTTGAGAAAAGTCTTCACTTTGACAGTGTGGCACTCAAGAAATGGGCCAGTCGGAATAACTACTCCCTTCAGTGGCTAGTGGTAATTGCAGTTTAGACCAGGGAAAGAAATTATTTGGCCAACTACTTCCTGCACATCATTATCCTATGTGGATTTTCAGCTACTACACCTCTATGTCCGAAAAACTCCTATAGGTAACTGCAATTTCCTTCTACCTGCATGGCTGTGAGATAACCGTATTACTTGAGGACTACGGGGCGCTACAAGGTTTAAACTCACATAGGGTCAATGTTATTTATTTTCACTTGCACCTTGCCCTCACCAGATGTCATGAACCGGATTATTCTGTCTCTGCCTGCATGGGAGCTCCAATGGAGTTGCTTCGAATCCGCCCGAAGATTATTCATGTAATCTGGCTAGTGGTGGTCAGCAGGGTAGTTAAGGGCACATGTGTGGTGCCAGGAGTTTTCCGGACACCGGGGTAAAGCAGCAATGAGGGAGTACGGTGTCACTGAGTTTCTTGCCGGTAAGTTGGGAGACAATTTCTGGATTCCAAGGCTCACATTCCAGGAAGTTTCAGACGTCCCATCCACTTGACCTTTTCAGGAAGGGGCTGAAAATCCACTGAGGATGTTAATATATATTTCACGCAACACAGGTTACGTGAATACAAACCATTTTGCAGGTCTGATCATTATGGTAATGAGAAATGACTATTATATACAATGCTAAGATATACATTAGATACTGATATCCATGGTATATAAGGGGTGTGTCGAGGCAGGCTCAGTTCATAATTGGGAATTATTCGGTTATTGTTTGAATCTTCCAATATTCTTGAAGGTGAGGCAGGCATTACAGTCATGACCTTGGGGTATGTGAGTTCGTCATAAGGTTTCGACGGCAAGGTGCTCTCTGACAAATGCGATTTCTAGGATTCCATTCGAATGCAGGACTGGTTAGGTTGTAGTGCCCAGTAAACGTGGTTATAACTTCTGTTTACTGTTAACCTTATATTCACTGTTGACTGTAACTGAGTGATGGATAACTTTTGATGCACTCGTTTGATTTTGCCCGCTGAAAGCGCCCACTAGAGTACTTGGAATAAACACGTTCTACTTCTACTACTGCCATTCTATTTGCTACTTTGCGGTTGTCTAAAGCAAATCTTTCATAGCGTTAGCCATAAGCCTCTGCGTCCAACATTGGTGAGCCCGATAACGTGTATTGTCGCATTTGTTCATTTTAGTTGGTCGTCTATTAATTTTGATTTTTGTTTTTAAAAATATGTCTAACCTCATTGATTTTGATCCCGATATCGTCCATGAATCCGTTTCACTGGAGGTTGACACTTTAGTCGCAACTAAGAATCGATTACCAGCCCCTGATAAGCAAGACCCAGAACTATGGTTCACCCAGCTGGAGCATTTCTTTGACCGACATAACCTAAAGTCAGAGAAACTGAGATACAAAGACTTATGCTCCATTCTTCCTCTCTCAGTCAGTAAAGAGGTCCGTGATCTCATAATCAGTGCCCCTGAAGAAGACCCTTATTCCACGCTCAAGCGTGCGATAATAAGCCGTCTATCAACGTCAGACAGCCGACGCATCCAACGTCTGCTACAAGAGGAGATGTTGGGAGATAGATCACCATCACAGTTTTTGAGACACTTACAAAAGATAGTGGGAGAAAACGCTGTTGAAGAAGCCGTCCTCAAGGAAGGTTGGATAGAAGCACTGCGCATCATGTTCAGTGTTCACTCAGCGCACAGGACCCAGAAACCCCGCTTCCAGAGTTAGCCCAAGTTGCCGATCGCATTATGGAGAGAGGAACAGCCAGAGACAACCACTTATCACCGCATACTAGTCCTGGCTCGTCTAAGGACGCCATCGTCGCTGAATTAGTAGCAAACGTGAAGTCGCTAACGGAAGCTGTGGCTCAAATCCAACTGAATCAAAGTCAAAGAGGCAAGTCATCACTCAGACATAGATCACGAAGTAGACCCAGATACTCGAGGCCGTCCGGACGATCCTGTTGGTATCACTGCAAATACGCGCACAATCTAAACGGTGTACAAAGCCATGCGACTGGCCTAAGCAATCCCCTGGCAAGCAGGGAAACTGAAGACCCCTTCTCAGGTAGCGACTGCTGAGGAGGGGTGCTTGAACAGTCACCTATTCTACGTCACCGGCAGAAATTCTGGTATAGAATTCCTGGTAGACACGGGAGCCGCTCTTAGTATTCTCCCCCGAAGCAAGGTCGAGCTCGGACACCAAATGTCCACAGTCACGTTTCAGGCCGCCAATAAAACACAAATAGCGACTTTCGGACAAAAAGCCATCATTCTAGATCTTGGGTTCAAACGCCAATTCCCTTGGGTGTTCACCATAGCAGATCTAGATCTCGAAATACTGGGTATAAATTTTTTGGAGAGGTATGAATGCTTAGTAGACACAAAGAAGCGAAGGTTGACGTCGAAGGAAACTTCTAGAAACACAATGGGAAAGGCCAGCACAATCATATCCCTAAACATGGTGCAGTCCCCTCCAGTATCAACCGAAAGGTTTAGAAATATATTGATGAATTTTCCAAACCTGACATCATCCAGCGCCCGGACCTCTCGTCTAAGTCCTAAGGTGACGCATAGCATAAAGGCACATGGCCCTCCTGTATTCGCAAAACCTGGGAGATTAGCACCGGATAAACTGAAAATCTCCAGGGCCGAATTTGACTATATACTTCAGCTAGGCATTATTCGCCCTCCCAAGAGTCAGGGGGGTCCCCAATACAAATGGTGCCCATGAAAAATCAACAGACCGGCCACCATGTGGTGATTATACGGCGTTAAACAAACAAACCATTCCTGATAGGTGCCCAGTTCCTCATATTCAGGACTTCACTGACTGTCTTGCAGGTGCCACTATATCCACTAAAATAAACCTAGTCCACCCAAATCACAATATTCTAGTGGCGAAGAAGACGTTCCAAAAACAGCTATCACCACCCCATTTGGTTCACACGAATTTGTGCGGATGTCTTTTGGCCTCCGGAATGCTGCACAAACCTTCCAGCGGTATATGGATGATCTTCTACGGGACCTACCATTTGCCAAAGCATATATTGATGACCTACTGATTGCCAGTCCGGACATAGACTCACACTAGAGTCACATACGGGCAGTCTTGCAAAAATTAAACGACAATGACATGACGATAAATCAAAGTGTGTTTTCTGAGTTGAGAACATTCAATTCTTAGGATACATGGTTAATACATACTGAATATCACCACTGCCGAAAGAGGTGGGGGCTATCAATCAGTACCCGGTAACCCCCTCTATAACTCAACTAAGAAGTTTTCTTGGTCTAATTAATTTTTATCCTCGATTCATACCACATTGTGCACAGCACATGCAGCCCCAACCGGCACTTTAAGGGGAAATCCTAAGGACTTGAAGCTCTCTACAGAAGCTGTTGACGCGTCAACAAATTGAAAATGGCTTTGATAAAGGCCGCAACCCTAAAATATCCTGATGTCAATTTGCCATTAGCACTGATGGTTGATGCTTCCGACAAGGCTGTAGGAGCAGCACTCAACCAGTTTGCGGTCAACCAATAGCAGTAAGTGGCATCCTTTTCAAAGCGCCTTTCCCCACCCAAAACTCGGTGCTCAACGTTTGGCCGAGAACTACTAGTGATCTTTCTAGCAATTAAGCATTTCCGTCACATGGTGGAAGGCAGGACATTTACGGTCTACACGGATCATAAGCCTTTAACTTATGGGCTAAATGCAAAACATGACAGGTACTCACCACGTGAAATTCACCACCTTGATTTTATATCGCAATTTACTAGCAATGTAAGGCATGCTAAAGGTGCACAAAACTGCTTGGCGGACGCCCTGTCTCGAATTAACGTAAGCACCATTCATCAATCTGCCATAGATTTCAAGGCTTTAGCAGCAGATCGAGAAACAGATGGGGAATTGAGAAATTTACTTTCCAGTAGTAGTTGTAGCCTAAAACTTAAGCAACTACCTTCACCCATAGATAACAGACTCGTTTACTGTGATACGACGAGAGATTCACCTGGATCTTATGTGCCTAAAAACATGAGGAGGTTAGTATTCAACAACTTTAACTCGTTGCCACTCCCTGGAGCAAAAGCTTCCACGAAACTTATTGCTGACAGATATATTTGGCCCAACTCACGGTGCGACGTACGAAATTGGGCTAAGGAATGTGTGGCATGTCGGCAATCTAAGGTGAACCGACACACAGTTTCACCTTTAAGAACGTTTTCGCAACCCGATGTGAGCTTCGCACACGTGCAGGTGGACTTGGTAGATTTTGTACCCCATTCTAATGGTTTCACGTACCTTTTCGCATGTATCGATGGATACACAAGGTTTCCGATAGCCATTCACTTGCGGACATTATCGCAGAAACAGTGGCAAAAGCGTCTCTGCAGAATTGGGTGTCAATATCTAGTGTCCCTGTGACGATAACCACCGACAGAGGGGCACAGTTTGAATTAGAACTTTTAATAACTTAGCTAAATTCCTTGGTTCTCAAAGAATACGTTGCACGGTGTACCACCCACAATCAAAGTGTGTGGTGGAAAGATTTCATCGACAATTTAAAACCACCCTGATATCACACTCTAACCCCTCTCACTGGACAGAATACCTCCTCATGGTAATGTTAGGTATTCGCACAGCAGTCAAGGCCGACTCTCAATGCTCAGTGGGAGAATTAGTTTTCGGTACCACCCTAAGACTTCCCGGCGATTTTTTCAACCTTAAGGGTGAAAGCGACCAAATCGACCAGTTAACCTATATCTATCGACTCATACACCAACTGGCTAGCTTAAAACCGGTTGCAACCCGTGAGCAGGCCAGAACGGTCTATATCCCCAAAGATATAGACACTTGCACACACGTGTGGGTTTGCTGTGACTGAATTCAACCACCTGTTAGCCCTCTACATGAAGGACCCTTTAAAGTTCTTCCACCACATCCAAAACATTTCGTCATACAACGCTTTAACTCTCAATACAGCTTTAGCATAAACAGACTTAAGCCGGCATACTTAGACAACGATCCACCATATATAACCCTAGAGAAACTCCCATGACGTATCGTGGACGGTGTAACAAACAGTACACAGGTTCGTAAACCAGCTAAAACGGTTGGGTGGGCGCAACCTCTGATACAGAATTGACCGGTTAGAAAAGAAAAGGTTAATAAAACGGTGACACTTAAACGTACGGTTTCCGTTTTCATATTTTGAGGTAAATGTATGTTGTCTATGATATGTATCTTACAAAAAAAACCGTTTTGGGCACCAAAATAACATCAGCCATTTAAGCTGCCTTACCTTTGTTTGAGTATCTATAATATTTTAACCTGGACTTAAAATGTTGCGACTGAGTGCCAGTGGACCCGCAGACACTCAAACTTCAAACAGCGAGATTATCGACGTCAGAGGATGTCCATCATAGCAACGTTTTGGTGGGTAAGTCATTCCCACATACGGACGTCCGAAACCTACGGTGAGTGCTCAGTATCAGTTACTTCCGTTTTTAAAATGATGTCTGTTTTAGAGTTTGTTTAAGACTACTGTTACGGAACCTTCAGAGATCTGTAGAAACAGAAGCACTTCAGTATCCACTATTACTACTGAACGAGGAACATGAAGGCTTTATAGAATACAAGTAGCAGACATTCCAGGCGAGTTTCCATTTTTCCCTAGTTGTTTTCTATACTACGCAAAATAGACTCTTTCTTAGAGCAGGCTGTAGGCTTGTAGTTATTGTTATGTATTATTGCAACTCAATTGTCCATTCGGTGTCCTGTTTATCATTCCACATTCCAACACTGTAAAGCAGTCACATTTTCGAGAGACTGTTGCGACTTATTATGCTATTAACAAGTAGTGTAAGCCACTCGGCTAAAGTAGTAATTCAACCCAGGATACAGCCTTATTAAGCATACGATATTTTTTGTACTCATCCTGTATTACTTCCCTTTTTCTGTGGTTTACTGTACTGTAAAGCTAAACCTCTTCAATACATACGTGCGCATGCGATTACCAGGATTCCACATTGTGATGCAATGATGGTCCCTGAGATTACACAGGCATAAGCCAAAAGCCTTCTCAGTCAAGCTTGAAAGTGACCCTACTACAGCTACCTTTAAACTGCATTGCTTTTCTGTTTTGGTTTCCGATCATGCCAATAGTCACCGAATGTGACATCAAAGATGAAAACTTATGTTTGTCGCAGAAACGACTCAGACCACGGACAGGTCTTCAGCGTCATCCCTCTCCTTTAACCACAGTGCTTAATGGACTTGGGGGGAATTAACTGTAGACCTTCCTCCCAACAGCATTGACACACTGCTCCAAACTACCACCACGACGCCACCGGTAGCAACAATAATAGCAGTAATAATAGCGTTTTAATTGGCCGAATCCACATATTGCGACAGCAAACACCCTAATGTTTCTGACTCTAGAGTTACTTATTTTCCTCCACTTTTTCACTACTAAGGTATTTTCCAAAACGCGAAATATCGTGAATGACAGTTTTCTCCGTCTAGTTTTACGAGTGTATACCCTGCTAACTAACCAACATAGACAATCAACAACTAATTCCCATAGCTAGGAGCATAGAAGCGGCTCACCTAGGATCATTCCTCGTCATGTAATCAACTAGTTTTTTATCACTTGACTCGTACTTCTAATGTTTCATCAGCAAATACTTGATCTTCTTTGCACATGAATAGCTGGACCCAGTGAACGAAGGGTAGCGCCCAGAATAGCACTCAGACACAAAATTACAAGGTATATACATTCGGTTTATAACTGTTGTTCTTACAAACAGAGGTAATTTTACTAACCCGCACTTTGCACACAGTTTCTGCACTTGTTTTAATTTTTTAAGTTAAAAGAAAATCCAAGAAATACTTATTAAACTTATATTATAGTGAAGAAAATATCCTTTAATAAACTAATGCTATAGTAGCATTCCGTACAATATTTCTCCGTTCACCACTATTGCATTCGATCGGCGGAACACTTTTCGTGCACAATTATTAAAATTTTCTGCATGTTTCCCCGTTTTCTTCTCTCCATCTTGGCACTTCATCAGGATTGCGTCGAAACAACAGTCTCCCTGGGGTCGTTTCTGATGTAGTGTCCAGCAAACTTGGTTATAACTTCTATTTGTTGTAAACCTTATATTCACTGTTGACTGTAACTGAATGATGAATAACTTTTCATGTGCTCGTATGATTTTGCCCGCTTAAAGTGCCCACTAGAGTACTTGGAATAAACACGTTCTACTTCTACTACTGCCGTTCTATTTGCTACTTTGTGGTTGTCTAAAGCAAATCGTTCATAGCGTTAGCCATAAGCTTCTGGGTGCAACAAGGTAAACCTGAAAAGTGAATAACAAAAGCGAGCGGCAGGCGAAATTTGAAACAGGAGCAAAAAAATACGCAGGAGTAGATCAAACATAATGCATCTGGGTGAGTTCTTTATACTGACTGCAAAACTTATTTGAAGAAGTATCCAAAACCAACTGTTTAGAGGTAAGCTTAGGCTGAAGAAGATGAAGGTGGGCACGACAGTGCTGAAAAATAGTCCGAAGCCAAAGATATCACTACGAGATAGACAGATTAGAGGATTTTGAACCAGGTATTCACTAGATTTTTACCTATGTACAAACGTTTGATAAGCATATAAACATCTGAGTGAAATTCATGGTCTTTTTCTAGGATGGTAACCACCCTTCATCCAGTCACCGGGGGAGGGATGAGGTACAAAAAGTAGTAAGCCAAGTAGTTCCTTTCCCTGGTCTAAACTGCAATTACCACTAGCCACTGAAGGGAGTAGTTATTCCGACTGGCCCATTTCTTGAGTGCCACACTGTCAAAGTGAAGACTTTTCTCAAAAACCGCCAAGGAAGAATATTGCCTATGATTTTCGGAAGATTAACCTTCAAGTTTAAACTTCGTGAAGAACATATTTCTCTTGTTCGTTTCTTCTCTTGTTGCGAAACCATCAAGATGACCTGAGGCGTTGTCATGTAACCTACGTTAGTGAGCCCTTTCCGTTTTTGTTTTGCGAACCCGTTGAATCACCGGTGTAATCTAGTCGTATCTTCTTCTTACATTGTTAAGCCTACGGCGTGTGCAAATTCATGCACAATTTTTCATGGTGGGGAATATCTGGAGCGTCTTTGCGCGATATTTTTATTGCTGATGATAAAACAATTGTTCATTGGGCTTAGTTTAAGTCGACCAAATTCCAATCCGCCATATTTGTTCACGGTTTAAGGTCGTCGAAGTATCAGCAATGGAGTAACTTGCCCAACTTCCGAAGAATAAGCTCCGCTTCGCGCAGACGTGCGAACAGGTGGGATACATACCTTCTAGTTTACCTCCCTGTAGTTAACTATGATGACCAAAACGCATCCAAAATGGACCCCTCTTCCCTTACCTTCACTATCTTCATATGGATCACTCGGTCTTCAAATATTCAAAGCTGGAAACCAGCACTCCAACCTGGAGTGCCGGCTTCGTGTCTCCTTCTTGCTCTGCATTCACTGATGTTTGCTCCATCAAGTCAAGATGCTCAGACTTTTTGGGCAGTGGTGATGATACTGACAGTTGTCCAGGTATGCCAGGCGTCTTTTCTTTACCTTCACAGATTTTTTGTCCGATATATCGACAGAACCAAGCTTGGATGTGGGGGAAACTTGTGGTTTGTTGCATTCTGACTTTGTCCCTGACGAAGTTCTTGAGTTCGTCGCTGATTATTCAGTAAGATCAATGCGTAATTATTCTCACTCTGATAGGCTCGTCATTTTGAAGGTTCTTCCGATTCTTCCAGTAGCAGTGTCGCTGGTTATGTAGCTGATTTACCTCATGCCAGTGATTTCTATTTGCCTGTGGCTCCTGGTCGCTTCAAGTCGACAGGTTTATTAGAGTGCAAGTCTGATCGTATATTTGGTACTGTTTTGCATGGTACGCAGTCTAAACGACGCCGGGAGGTTAACCGTGAAGCTTCCAGACGTTACCGTCAAAAGCTGAAACAAAAGTCCCTACAAACTCAGTCAGACCTGGCTGACGTTACATCTGCATACAAGCGATCGAAATTGGCATATGAAAAAGCTGAGCATGCTTTTGATGTGTTAAAAAACATTGTCCTCGACCTGGTTAGCCTTACATCCTAATATTGTTCTTTCTAAAATCTTATTCATTTAGTTTGCTTGCGGTTTTGTCTCTTCTTTCTTGTTCTGCAGTTCGAAACCACTGTCCAACATATTTCTGAGCAATACATTTTCCCTCTTACTAGATACCGAATTTCGTATTGGCATGTAGGATGCGATCATGGCATTCTGAATGAGATTGGAGTTATCCAAGATCGATTAGGATTGTTTGCTTACTGCTTTGGATTTGAGTAAGCAGGTCAGGCCAATAGGTCACATTCTTATGAACGTTAAATGCTGTGCTTCGCTGTGTTGTACTACTGCTAGTTTACACGAAAGGTGAGTTTCGAGACGAGTGTGTACTGCGACCACGGTGACATTCGCCGGTCCCCACCGTGTTGATTCAACTCAGCACTTGTTATGCGCTGAGTTAATCCTGTAGAAATACCGCTACTAACTTGAAAATGAAGGGACATTGTTTTACGGGGTAGGAAGTCATACTGGTCGTAAGCTAACCTTCTTAGTTTACTGGGTATCGTCTACATGTTTGATTTTCGCCACTTTTTCGAAGGAAGATTTCGACATTGTGTGTAGAGTCCACTCCAGCATAGTTTGTTAGGTGTAAATTAAGTAGACTGAAAAACGGGTGAAAGGTACGAAAATACTAGTCCCAGTTGTGTAACTGGATGTAGGTTTTCTAGATGAGGACTCGGACGACTGTTTGTGCGATCCATACATGATTACGGTAACTTCTGTATCGTTATCCCACCCAGTCAGTCAAACATAAAGTTTTGCTTCATTATTGTTTACAGCTGTTAATGCCGTTTTGTTTGTTGGTCACCATGTCGGTGTGACACGCTGGGAGAATAGACTGTTTCGTAGTGATGACAAGTCCATACCTGTTATACGATAGACCTTGGGTATGTGCTTATATCGGTTAACGACGATGATAAACTGATATTCTTCTGTAGAATGTTCTAGATGAGAGGTTTCAGTTTACAGGGTTCATTGGGCTGATATAAACTGAAATACTCCCAAGTGTTTGTTGTATTTTGCTGGTTATTTGTTCTATCCGCTTTCCCCTCTGGGATTACAGCTATTGCAGTAGGACGTATATGTATATAAACCGGCTGGTGAGTGGATATATGAAGATCTAAAAATTTCCACCTATCACGGGCTGGAATTTTTCTTTATAACCATTTGTGGAATTCATGAGCAGGAGTGTTGCACGCTAAATCTGAATAGGGAGTAACAGGTTGTCAAAATGGTTGGCCGGGCTGGTAAGTATTGTATACCATTGTTTGGTCATACATTTTAATCCCAGCGGTCCGTCTATAGTTCCATCATCCTCAGGGGCAAATAGATATTCCTACGTTGACAGTCAAGTAAGTGGACGGGGCCGGTAATTCCTGCCTATTGGGTGACAAATTTCATGGCAGCGCAGCTTTTTGTTTTGGGAAACGCTAGATTGTTGAGAATCCATAACATATAGCCTATTTGGGTCCTACTGACGTCGACTAAATTCCTCCGGATGATGTGGGTTTTCCAAGCTTTCAATTAGATGTTTGGTATCCAGATCTCCAGGTAATTGGGTACGTATTCAACATAGCCCATCCTCTTAATAAGTCAGCGATATCTTCCTTTCGCTACTATCTGAAATTTTCCCGACCGATAGCTGCTACCTTGACGTGGTGGTCGGGCTTGCATATCACAATGACCCAACGAGCTATGCTGGTGGAACGCTTGTTCCCTCGAGGTCCTACCATACGAGAAAGGTCTGTTGGGTAGTGGTTAGACGAAAAGCAGTTACCGTTATAGTGTAAATTGCTACACTATGATGGGGGTCTGAGTGCGAAGTCGTACTGCTGCTAGCTGGATGGGGTGTGAGAGCAGTAAGGTGTTTCCCTTGGATGACCAGCAGTGCCATGCTGATGCTGCCTTCTCAGAGGAAGGGGGGGTTAGAAAGGTCGGCTTCAAAAATAACACACTCCACCATACCCCACGGTCTGCGGGCCGGTGGTATTGGTTCACTTGTCGTTTCCTTTCGACCGTCGGGCCCCAAAAATACAAAAGTTCAAAATAATCATACTCAAAAGGCTGGGTGTGACAGGCCTCAAGCAGATGTCCAATGGGCTCTGCGGTCACACAAATCTCTTTCAGGTACCTTAAGAAGAAATAGCCTTCCATGGTGTGGGCAGCCGGGAAGTGTCAACCGCCCTCACAACTCTGTCAGCACCCAAGTTTCTTCTGACTGCTATCCACCTCCTCCATCATTACCTTCTAATCTTCCTTCACGTCTCTTAATTAATGATGCTGCACCATCTTCAATTTCTCCTACCTCTGCAGCCTTCGACAACGATCTGAGTCCACAGAACAGCATCACTGGTCTCCTTAAACCACGCTCCAAATTACATATTGGAGCCTTCAATGTCCGCACCCTCCGTCAAATTGGCCAACAGGCTTCGTTAGCAAAGACTAGCAACTCGGGCCATGGATGTGTGCTGTGTTTGTGAGACACGCATACAGGACCCAAGTGTGGTTATTCAGAAAATTCACTACTAGACTGGATCCCAGTTGATAGTCGCCTCTGCGCTATGAGGCTGAACGGCACAGTGAGAACTAAAAGGAATAGTGAGACTCGCCGTTGTCTCTTTGTAATCTCTGCTTACGCACCCACTGACTGTAGTTCGGATGAAGTGAAGGACGAGTTCTACCATAAACTGTCTAACCTCCTCTCGAAAGCCAAACGTTCGGACGTAGTGGTTGTTGCAGGTGACCTCAACGCACAGGTGGGTAGACTGAGTGAGGCAGAAAGGCACTTAGGTGGCACTTTCGGAATCCCAGCTGAACGTACAGATAACGGTGATCGCCTATTACAACTATGCTCAGATAACCGCCTATTTTTAGCCAGCACAAATTTCAGACATAAAGAAAGGCACTGTCTGACCTGGCGTCCACCGAGCTCGACTCAGCGATGGACACAGATAGACCACATTGCTATTAGTCATCGCTGGAGAGGATCGGTGGAAGACTGCCGCTCCTTCTGGAGTACGTGTTTGGACAGCGATCATGCGTTGGTCCGAGCACGTATATGCCTGCGTCTCAATGGACGTAGAAAAAATTTGGCAACAAAACCACTACGAGTTCTGCTGGACAACGAAAACACCAAAGCCGTGTTCAGTGAGAAGTTGGCTAGGCAGTTATCGGAACAAAAGACTGTCACTCATCCAGAAGAAGCTTGGTGCCATCTTCAGTCTACTGTAAAAGCAGCACTGGAGACTGTAGCCGACTCCAAGATAATGGCTAAAAAGAGCCAGTGGATATCAGCAGCTTCTTCCAAACTAATGGATGCACGTGAATGCATCCCTGCAGGCTCTGAGTACAATGAAGAGCGAGCGCAACTTAAAAATAAACTGACGAAAAGTCTGCGCAACGATCGTGAACAGTGGTGGGCAGCAAAGGCTAAAGAGATGGAAAAGGCAGCGGCGATCGGTAACAGTAGACAGTTATTTAGACTTATTAAGGAGACTGGGGGGAAATGGTCAACAACAGTTAGTGAGGTTATAGCGGAGAAGGACGGATCGGCGATTCACTCGCAGGGAAGGCGACTGGGACGATGGGCAGAACACTTTGAGGAACAGTTTAACTGGCCTCCAGCCACCATTGCGCTGCCCGCTATCCAGTCGGACCCTGAATGGGACATAGAGACAGGTCCCCCAACACTAGAAGAAGTTGAGAAAGCGGTAGGTAGCCTGAAACGGGAAGGGCAGCAGGACCAGACGGACTACCTGCTGAGGTATACAAGAATGGTGGTAGAGTTCTCTTAGTCAGGCTAACGGAAGTGTTAGCCAGTATATGGGAATCAAATACGATCCCCTCCGACTGGTCTAAGTCACTGATCATCCCAGTCTTCAAGAAAGGCGAGAAGTCCTCTTGTGATAACCACAGAGGAATCAGCCTGACAAACATAGTGTCTAAGATCCTAAGTTCTATAATTCTCCGACGCCTGAGTGGAGCTCGGGAACAGCAAGCCCGAGAAAACCAGGCAGGCTTTAGACCTGGCCGTGGATGTATCGACCAAATATTCACACTGCGCCAGGTCCTGGAACATAGGCATGCTTACAGACGCCCGACAATAGCTGTATTTCTCGACCTGAAGGCGGCATTTGACTCCGTTGATCGAGAAGTCTTATGGCAGTGTCTGTCACTGAAAGGCGTGCCTAGTAAGTACATCACCTTATTGAAAGCTCTCTACTCGAACACTTGTGGGCATGTTAGAGCCTATGGTGAGTTGTCCAGGGAGCTATACTCATCAAGTGGTGTCCGTCAAGGATGCCCACTATCCCCATTCTTATTTAATTTTATCATAGATATTCTTATGGAGGTTTCCCTCTCGTCACCTAATTACAAAGACGTTGACCCGATCACAGGTGAATTTTCCTTAGATCTAGAATATGCAGATGACATAGTCCTGTTAGGTGAAGACGCTGACAAGATGCAGAGTCTTCTGAACACTTTGAGTGGGAATTTGAGAATGTTTGGGATGCGATTTTCACCACCCAAATGCAAATTTTTGCTCCAGGACTGGTCTTCAGCGGTACCGCGGTTAACAATAGAGAGTGAAGTGGTTGAGTGTGTTGACCACTTCACTTACCTGGGAAGTAGGATCAACCCGGTGGGTTAGTTGCCGATGAGATTTCTGCACGGATACAAAAGGCTCGATTGGCTTTTGCCAATTTGCGCCACCTATGGCGCCGCCGTGATATTCGTTTGTCTATTAAGGGTCGCGTGTACTGCACAGCAGTCCGCTCTGTTCTACTGTATGGCTGTGAAACATGGCCATTGAAAGTGGCTTCAGGTGTTTGACCACCGTTGCCTTCGTAGTATAGGACGTATTCCGTGGTGTCACCATGTGAGTAATGCAGAAGTTAGGTGTAGAGTTTTAGGGAGAAGAGGTAAGTCAGTCGACGAGGTTGTGAACCTTCATCGACTGAGATGGTTGGGAC